TCTCCGGGTTGGGTACCGGTATAATCCGCTTCTAGCTTGTTTGGAAGCGTGGGCCCTTGGGAGCCGGACTTCGGTCGCATCTCGTGCAGGGGCTTGGAGAGGAGGAGTGTTGGGGGTGGCTGCTCAGAGAATCAAACCCTCCGTTTACCGGAGGGTGGATGGGGCCTTCCTCTTTCCGCCCCCTTTATTTGGGGTATCCCTTACGGATGCAGAGATGAGGCTTTTTGGTTTCTTAAAAAGCCAGCCGCAGTAAAGAAGAGCTGCCACAGGTCGAGGGAAGAGAGGTAGGTCCCTGCTGGGGAGGGAGCGGTGGGGTGCGCGGTCTCTCTGGGACGCGCAGTTGGGGGCGCATGTGGCAGAAGGTGGGGAGGCCGGGTTTCGGGAAAGAAGAAGTGCAAAGGTGACAGGGTGGGAGCACTTCGGAGGCAGGCAGAAGGGCAGGGCGTGGGCACTGGGGAGCCCTAGCGACCGCGGGCCCCGCTTGAGCCCCTGGGGCTCCTCAGACGTGGCTCCTGCGGATTTCCTCCCTTCCTCCTCCTCCTCGACTTTGGAAAGTACTTCTTGTTGGGCAGAGAAAGCTCCGAGGACATATGCTGAAGGAGATTCGGGAGTAAAGACGGAGAGCTGACTTCTGACAACTCTCCGTAGCAGCTTTGATGATGCAGTTCCGTCCAGGCGGCGTTTACCGAGCACCTACTACGTGTTCCCTGCGGGACCTTGGAAGAGCCCGGACGGGCAGGGAATTCCCGCCTGCAGTTGTGCTGAGGGCTCCTGGTGTCAGAAAGAGCCAAGGGCGCTTCCAAGTGCCAAGAATGGCAGTGATTCAGCCCCTCCCCGCCGAAGCCTCTGGGACCTCTGCATGGGGCAGGCCTCTGGAGAGAACCTGCATCGTAGCCAGTGAAAGGGGTCTTCAGGCAGCGGTTATTTTTACAGTCCGTTAGTACTGACCAGACACGTCCCACCAGCTCCGGGAGGGTGAGAATTGTCTCTCCCTCTGTCTCCTATGTCGGTTGACTGAAGCCCTGTTAAAATGTAAGAGCAAGACAGGGAAACTCCAGGAGTGAAGAGAAGGACCCGGCCAAGCTGGAGTGTTCGGCCCCCATAGGCTAGGAAGGGAAACTCCCATGAAATGATTAGGTAACCCACGCAGCTGGGGGGGAAATCAAAAACCTTGAATTGGCAGGGTTTATGTATATGCTTGGACCTTTTATCTTAGATTTGTCTGGTTTTTATTGAGGGCGTATGCGCGAGTGCTTTGTTGATTAAAACTTAACACTTTAGAAGACTGGAGAGGAAACTGTCCTTACGTGACCCAGTTCCCCAGTCTCTTCCATTCCCATGCTGAGTGGTGTATGATGCAACGGTTCAAGTATTGAGCCATATTTGTATCTTTTTCTTCCTGCCAAAGTTTACAGAATTTTAAAAACTTGGTCAAAACTTGGCCTTTTAGAAAATATACTGTGCAGAGCCTTTTGATTAATTTAACTTTTTTGATGTGATTTCCATATCCCAACAGCTAAATTGTTTTGGCAGCTATTTTAGAAATTAGACTTGGTTCAATCTCAGACTGAAGGTGAATTGGCGAAGGAAAAGTCAAAATTTCATCAAACCTGTGTGCTCGTGATCACATACGTTCTTGAAGTGGCAGTTGGTGAAGGGTTTCGTGTATTTTCCGTATATCGTTGGAGCTGATGTTGACGTTCTGAGGAACACCAGTCATTATTTACTGAGTGCCGGCAGTAAGCCGAGAGCAAGAGTGGCACTGAGGTGCCTCACCAAAGGGCAGGTAAGCCAGGGCCACGCGAGACCACCACCAGAAGCCAGGGAGCGCCTCTGCCTACCGAGGTGGAAAGGGTGTGTGGAGCCAGCTGGGACTGCTGTGTGTGTTTGGGAAGGGAGAGGGAGCGCTGTTAGGGGAAGCTTTGAGGCTGGCCATAGGTCAAAAATAGGTCTGCCTGGCTGGCGCAGAGGACATGGCTGATGAAGGGAGGTCGGGGCCATCTGGTCAGTGGGAACCTTGAACCACACAAGTCAGCGGTGTTAATCATTTGCCTCAAGAAGAAGTAGTCTCAGCAGGGGGTGATTTTTGTCTCCCAGCAGTCTTTTGGCAATATCTGCAGACATTTTTATGTTTGCTTGTCCTGGCTAGGAGGCAGGTGCTACTGACACCTGGTGCACAGAGGCCAGGGGTCCTGCTAAACACCCTGCAGTGTGCAGGCCATGCCCGTGGCAGAGTTGTCCTGCCCAGAGTGTCTCCCTGCCAGAGCCAGGGCGGAGAAGCCCTGCCTCGACAGGGCAGGTAAAGGCTGCTACGAGGTGGACTTACATCTCAGAACAGGTCTTGAAGAAGGAGGTGTTGACAGGTGAGGAAGGATGCTGAGGTTCGGAAGCAGGTCTAGGATGCTTCGCGGTGCTCAGGCCCAAAGTGATTAGGATCCGGGCAAACCCTAGTCAGAGGAAAGGCGTTTCTGAGAGATCATGGCAGCAGGGCAGTGTGGCAGGGTCAGGGGCGTCCTGGAACCAGACTGGAGTTTTAGAGAAGTCTTGGTCTAACTTCCTGGCTTTAGTACCTTCTTACACTCGCGAGGCAGCCTCTGTTTAAACACCCCCAGGAGCAGGGACCTCTGTACTTGTGAAGACATGTCATCGTATCTTTGGATTGTGTGTGTGGTGACTATTGGAGCTGAAGGCTGCCTCCTCAAAACTTGGTTCTGTTGACTCCATTCCTCTAGAACTGCCCACTTCCCCAGGACAGCTCTTGGGATGTGCAAAGACAGTGTGACGCCCCCCTCCCCCATTACCGTTCCTCAGTGCAAAATCACCCTGTCCTTGCCACAGTTCCGTGTGGGGCTTGGCTCCTAGGTGCCACCTCAGCGTGTCGTCCTCTCTCAGGGAGAGCCCTGGCGTCTGGAAGTGAGCGTGGTGACCGAGACCTGATCTGGTCCACGAGGAGGACAGCGGGACAGCTATTGTCGGGGACCAGGGCGCGAGCGTCTGCTCACTGCGGCTCAGTTTACAGAGCTGCCGAGCAGAGATGCTTGTGTGAACTGCTCCGTCCTGTGTCCACTGTGCAGACCTGTGTATGTGTATGTGAAGTTGAGTGGATGTTCTCTGTTTTTGACCCTGTGCGGTGCTCTCCTGTTTGTTCTGGTCCAGTCTCCAGGCCTTTTGAGATTTTAAAATCTTGATTCTGCCTTCTTAATCATATGAGAAAGGAGGGAGGGTTGACTTTGCCGAAAGCTCTGTAGTCGCCGGTGTTGACACCTCGTGGAACCCAGTAGTTGGCACTGCTGGCCCTGCTTGAGAGCTGGGGTGCTGGGGGGTGGAGGCGAAGTCCAGGGCTTGCTTGGCCCCGGGTTTAGGGGCTTCTGAGAAATTCGTGTTCGTGGCCAAGCTCCATGTTTGCGCCTGGGGGTGCCCTTTAGAAACTGAGTCTGTTGCAAGCTTCTGAGATCTGTGTCCCATCCTCTGGGGTCTTTGCAATTCCGTTTAGACGTCTGGAAGAGAATCTCTAATGTTCTTTGCGAGTCTGAAGCTTCCAGGTCAGAGTTACTTTTGAAATTTGTGAAGAGGTAGACGGGGTAACTGACACTGGCATAAGCCACTGCGTATGAAGGTGGTTCCCACTCGGGCTAAGCTGGGTTTTTTTCTTTTTCTTTTTGCAAATGTGCCTGAGATTAATCAGTGACAGCTTTACATTTGGGGAAGGAGAGGGGACTGGGGCTTAGAGACGAGCCTTTTCCCCAGAACTGAGCTTTAGCTTGTCGTTGGTA